GATTCAGACTCAGTTGACAATTCTGTTATAGAATGTGAGTATTTCTTGTGAACATAAACTGCAGCACCACCTCAGTTTCTGTCCTATTTTGGACCATTTGAGGTTGCTGCAGGCAAAAGTGTAACAAGTTTCACAAAAATAATTGCATTCATTATATGATTTTATTGCTTTATTTATCACAGCCGCATGAAGAGTGGGGGTACGACAGCCTTCGGTGAAGATTCCAGGTGTCAGAAAGGCCTGTTTCTGGACCGAGTGTTGATCACTCCTAAGACAGAGAAGGCACTGGCTGCTGCCGTCACCAGACTGATGGCCCCAATGGCCCGTGAAGCCTGAAGAGAAATGGGAGGACAGGAAAAAACAGKGGTCAGATTTCAACAGTTCTCAATGAGTTTATTTTTCTTAATCTATGCATTCCAACAGCTTGATCTAACAAGTGAAAAGTGTGCATTGTTGTCATAAGCAAAACAAACAGTGAAAGACCTGCTCAGACACCCCCTCCCCGTAGCGCAGAAGGGTCACAAAGTGCTCGCAGTTGCTCCCCAGCAGGTCATAGGACACTTCCTGGTCGATGAGGATTTGAGCTCGCTGGATGATTTCGTGGACAGGCAGAGGCGTGTGGTTGTCGTCGTACTTGTTGTTGACGCGGTACGAGTCGCTCCCCACCACCTCCTTCAGCAGCTGCATTCGCACCACGGCCTTTCTGCTGAAGACAGACTTCACGCTGGACATGGTGGCTGCCTGGCTCTCATCTGAGTGTTAAAAACATTAAAATGCTACACTTTCCTGTGCAATAACTTGAAAAAAACACACTCCCTCGTTCTTAAAACTGAGATAGGTGAAGTCAATATGATAATTAAAATTGGCAGTGTACAAGGTTTCATACACTTTGAATGTTTTGACAAGTGACACACAAAAATGAAAGTACGGTCCATGTAAAAACCTGATTTTAATGTGAAAAACAGGCTAGTTTACGCAGTAAAATACTAAGTGTGGCTGTCACCTGCATGGAACATAAGTGCCTGTGATATGCATATCCTTGAAATACAAAAAGTCAAAGAAAAAACTTGGCAAAATACTTATGGTTTTACCCATTTTGTCACACTACTGGCTTATTATCTTTTGWACTTTGCTCAGCCAAAGTGAAACAGGGAGTGACAGCAATGAGGAACTCTTTAAGAAATGGAACTCCCTCTTTGTTTGCTGAAACAATATTTGAACTCTCCTCTTAATCTCTATAATCAAGAAGATAATCTAAAGAAACATCAGATTCTTCTCCACAGTCTGTGTTGTTGGCTTTTGCAGCAATGCTCTGTTCACATTCAAACATTCCCCTTTGACATCACTTCCTGTTACTTCACATCAGAATATCTCAACAACTGTTCATCTCAGTGGTGTGAAATATTTTTTGCAGTCCTTTATTAATGTTATCTTTCCAAAAATGCATTCATGTTTATGACAAAAGCATTTATGTCGCAGGTAGTTTAAGCTAAATGAAAGCCCAACAAACAGTATTTTTTTACATTTTATCTGTCAAATCTTCCTGTTAAATAGAAAGTTGATTATCTCTTGCAAATCTTAATGCTATTATTAAAAAAAGTCTGAATGTTAATTTAATTTAGAGACACACATCTACTGACCAACGGGAGTTAGGTTGATGATGTAACCGTCTCCCAGGTAGAGAGCCCAGTGCTGATAGGCTGGTCTGAAGATCTCAATGAGGTCACCCGGCTGGGGGTCACTGGAGGGGTCGGGAAGGTCAGGGTCATTAGAGGCCATCTAAAATAGATAGAAGAAAAAGGGGCAGTTGTTTAATTTGACAAACATGTTACTTAGTTTTGTGTTTAATTAAAAGTAATACTGGCAAACAGAGCTGTAAATTACTCTCACATCCACGCTAACACACAGATACTGTATTCTGCTCACTTACAGCTGAGTTCTGTCCTTGTTTATCCATCCCACATCATGCTTCCACAAACTCTATGGAGAAAAAAACAGACAAAAATGCTTCATATCACCAGCTAAAAAAGATTTAAATCTATTAACAAACTAATCACCTGGATGTCAAGAACAGACAGATTTTGTTTTTTCTTTTATTGKGTTTTAATAAGATTTGACCCAAAAAGCTAAATGACTACATTTTCAATAAGAAGAGAATGCTAGATAGAGCGGTACAATGGTCAACCATAGCTACACATTCACACATACAAAGAACACACACCACCAACACACAGACAATGCTCACACAAGCTCCTGTATCATCTGTGCTGCTACAATGGCACCATCACAATGCAGAAACCAAGAGAAAATAGCTTGAATTCAGGTTGTTTTAAACAGAAAAAAAAGCCACTTATGATGATAAACTTCATTCTTTAAACTGTTTCTTCTGTTTGATCTTGTTAGTATCAAAGAAATATTAATATGTATTTTTTAGTGATTTAAATTAGAAACAAGTGCTCAGTTTGGATCAAAGTTAAGCTTGAGTGGGTTGAAATTTATATTCATCCAGGGGAGCATTCCATTAATAATGTATGATGGCACAATAAAGGTTGCCTATTATTTATTAAAAGACAACACCACCAGCATTAGAAAGCTGTTACGGACACAATAATAGAATTTATCTATTTATAATGTTACAGATCATGCCACTAAATTCATAAAATGTATGATCAAAGCAGAGCAAATACTTACAAAGGTAATACTTACTCAAACATCAGCAGCTTTTTCTTCCTCACCATTTTAATTCTCCATCGTAAATCTGCACAAAACCTTTTAAAAAGATCCAACAAGAAGAGAAAAAGCACAACGATGATCCCAAGTTGTTGAAAGGACAACTATAGTTACTGAATGTCTCAAAGCCAGACAAGAGGCTGGGTGTTCTGCTGCAGGTTGTACAGTGTTCACTGTGTCGACTGACCATGGTTTTTGAACACAGTTGCTCGGGTCTTTGTCTCAGACACACACACACACACACACACACACACACACACACACACACACTTTTGCTTTCTTTTTCTGCAAACCAGTATATAATGTTGGACTTGTATTTGTAGTTGAGTAAAAAAGCAGCACTAATTTATATTGTTAGATCAGAAAATCTGTTGTGATTCTACCTTGTGACTAAAGAAACATTCTTAAATTTACTCCAAAGGTAAAAACC